ACACACACACACACACACACACACACACACACACACAGAGTCTCTCCCTCCAAAACAAAGAAATGCTACGTTGGTAGAAAACACTGAGAACGAAGTACAGGAAAACTTAATCACAGCACATGCCCTCATTTTCCCATCATGCCACAGTAAAAGATAGTCCCACAGCGTGTATAAACAGGCAGGACATGCTAACACGGACATTCTCCTTGGCTTCTATTTCAGCCCAAAGCGTCGTTCCACTAAATTAGACCTCATTGTAAGGTCTCAGTGAGGATGTAAAACAGCAGAAAATACAGGGACTCGTCGGAGTGCTGGACTCCTCTGAACTGCACTTAAAACGCAAACCCATCTATTAAAATTACATTAAAATTTACACTGAGTTACAGCGTGTGCATGAGTGTGTGCGGGCGTCTGTGTATGTAATCAATCATATGAAGAGCGAGACAGCGGTACATGGTTATTGCATTAACACACTACTTACTTCTATGGCTTTAAAGTGCTGAGTGAAAGAGGGGGGAGATAAAAGTAGAAAGGACAGAGAGGTACAGACAGGAAGAGGAAAGAGAGGGTTGATGAAGTGACGGGTGAAGATCATGTCAGTGTGACCAGTGGCCACCGTCCTGGAACACTGAGGCAACATGGGAAACTACTGGAGATATCATAAGGGTTGTTTATTTCAGGGGAAGTGTTGAAGGTCAAATCGGAGTTTTGGTTGGAGACTTAATGTTGACCGGTGCACATAGAGGTAAGTACAGTAAGTCGTGTTGAAACAAGGCAGAAATGAAAATATAGAAGTTGCTAAGAAGTGTCATACTTCATTTTTAGGCATGAAACCAGCGTGGCTCTAAAGCAATTTCAGTCCCTTAGTCAAGACTGAAATATTCCAACATGTACTAGATGAACTGACATGAAACTTTGAACAGACATTCATCGTGCCCTCTGGATAAAGCCGACTGACTTTGCCGATAACTTGACTTTTCCTATTGTGTCACCATGAAGTTGACATTTTTTATTACTTAGTCGGATAATACAACAAATGTTGGATGGAGTCCTATTAACTTTCGTACACTTTCGTGTTCCCCACAGGATGAACTGTGATGACTCCTTGTGCTCTTCTGTAGCACCATCATCAGGTCAAAATCCTGTTCTCAACTGTATGATATCCGTCTATTCATCGATTCATTTTCAACCACTTACCCAGGGTTAGGTTGTGGGAGCAGCAGGCAAAGCCAAGTCCAAACGTCCCTCTTCCAAGCAGATCCCAAGGCGTTCCCAGGCCAGATGAGATATATATAATCCCTCCAGCTTTTTCTGGGTCTGCTACCAGTTTGACATGCCTGGAAAACCTCTCCTGGTGCCCAGGAGGCATCATGATCACATGCCCGAACTACCTCAACCGACCCCTTTTGACCCCTCATCTCAGCCACTCTGCAATCTCATTCTTAGGTCACTTCCCAAAGCTCATGACCATAGGTGAGGGTCAGAACATAGATAGACCAGTAAAACGAAAGCTTTCCCTTCACCACAACAGGCCAGCAAAGTGCCCACATCACTGCTGAAGCTGCGCCAAACCACCTGTCTATCTCATGCTCTGTTTTACCCTCACTTGTGAACAACAGGTTCAAGAACTACATGGTGGGTAATAAAATGAAGCTCTAGCAAACATTCAGTCAGGAAGACAATACTTTTCATGCTCAGGCTGTAAGTTTCTTTCTCACCCCGCCATTCACTCCTTGCACAAATGCTCACTCACTATTTCTAGGTGTCATTGCCTGGGTCTGTCAACTGAGTCATCAGCTGATTCACAATCAACCAATAGCACAGCGACACACCTTCTCTGTCAGCCTATCGTCTTACTGCTCCTCAATTTAAAGATGGTTCTTTCTCAGCCGTAGTTCTTTCTTGCTGCCTTTGTGTGCGCCCTCCACCTCCCCATGACTACCTAGACTTTACAGATTCATCAGCCTTATCTACCTCAGTGGTCAGCAGCCTCAGAGTCATCAGCCACCACCTCCACCATTGTCTAGACTCCATGGGGGGATTTATCCTGCTGCCACTCAGATGTCCCTCAAACACAAAATATCTCCTCTGGTGTCCAAGCAAATCACAAATCATCTGTTCATCTGCACACTCATATTCTGTATTATATATGATCTTTACTTCATTCTAATGTCTCTCCTGATTGAAATATGTATTTGTGACTTTCGTAGGCTATTTTGTTCTGTTGCTTCTTAGCAAAAAGCTGTCAGAAATTAGTCATTTATTGTGGAAGGTAAACAAGTTTTGTTGTCTTGGTTCATACTGGTTAAGAGAATGAAGCCTCCAGATTTACCATGCAGACTTCACTTGATTCAGGCTATCGGTTGTACTTAACTACAAACTGAGTTAGCCGTTAGCTTCCTTTCCCAGTTAGTTAGCACAACCGTTAGCACAGCTGCTATGGGCGAATATTAGCCAGCACAATACTCCAAAATCACTCCAGCAGTGGTGTTCAGAGAGGCAACGCAAGGTGGAAATTCACTTCACGTTTGGTGTGAGCAAACCATGAGTGTTTGTAAATCAGCATGAAAGGACAGAAAAGGGAGAGACGGATTTAAGAGCAGATGAATATGTAGGTGGACAGACATTTTTTTACAGTGTGTTTGTCAGTGGTGTGTTTGTGTCTTTGGAAACATGACAAATGACACAAGTGTTCGACAGAGTTTGCGCCCGTCAGTGTTGACGTTCAGCTGTTTTACATGTTAACATAAATAAAAGCAATAAAACGTGTGTGTGTATGTCTGTATCCTCACTTCATCTCCAGGACCTCCTCCAGGTGTTTCCGCCTCTCGGCCCGCAGTGCGGTCAGGTGACCTTCCTTCTCGGCCAGTGAGAGTTGAGTCGATGACAGCTTGGCTTTCATCACCTCCAGTTCCTGTTTCACCTTCTCCATGGCAACCAGCAGGTCCTCCACCTGACACACACACACACACACACACACACATTTTCAGACATCTTAAACATCATGCTTTTCCCAACTTTTCTGTCTAAATATATCTTTAGTTCATATTTTCCTTCAACTTTTTTTTTACTTGCGATTGCTTTCCACATATATTCATGTTTATGTGTTGTGTCTGCCTCTCCATCTGTGTGTGTGTGTGTGTGTGTGTGTGTGTGTGTGTGCATCTGACAGCTACTGCGCTTTTGAAATTTCTCTGTTTTTACATGAGATGCTCAATTGCAGAACATCAAACGTGTCATTTTTCTTCTCCGTGTTTTCTTTTTCCCCTTTATGTTGTTTCTCTTCTCTGATATATATTTTATCTGCCTCTGTCTCTGGGTGTATATCAGTTTGTCAGTTTAATGTCTGTTGGGTCAGAGTGTCGAGGTCACTGTATTTCTCACAGTGTGACGACGACCTGGCCTGTCACCACGCGCACACACACACGCGCGCACACACACACACACACACACACACACACACATTCTCGCTTTGGATACATTTTCTCTCTCTTTTCCAGCTCCCTGTTCCTCTGAAGTGTTGAAGTAGAAAGAAAGGAGAGAAAGAAAATCAGACAAAAGACATTCAGAAAAAGGATTCAGACTGAAAAAGAAAGAGTCATAAAAGCACTTTCTTCCTCCAAAAAATAGACTGCATCAGCAGAAATAAAAAAGTAAAAACTCTGAATCTGAAAGAAGCTGCTTTTCAGACAGAAGTGGGGACCAAGACAAAATAACAGTCTTGTGATCTGAGAAAAAACTCAGGACTAAAGAAACTTCCAGAAAGATCTTTCTCTCATGTTTTGCCACCATACACACTTTCAGACTTAAAGGGACAATTCACCCTTAAATCAAAAATACATATAATATTATATTAAAAACATAATATTAAACTCAAAAATACATATTTAACCTCTTTCCTGTAGAGCTTATTATCATGCAGATTATTTTGGTGTGAGTTGCTGAGTGTTGGAGATGTCAGATGTAGATATGTCTGCCTACTTTCCAGTATAATGGAACTAGATGGCACTTGGCTTGTAGTGCTCAAAGTGCCAAAAAAAAAAAAAAAAAAACATCTGAAAAACTCAACAGCAATGTCTCTTTCCAGAAATCACGACCCAACCACTCAAGATAATCCACAGACCTTGTTGTGAGCAGTTACAGAAAGACACCAACCGAATCACCACACAGAAGGAAGCATGCATCTGCTCATGGATGAGAAGGCTGTGCTGAAATTATGTTAAAAGTGGTGTGATAACCCCTCCACTCCACTTGGTGTGCCTCATTTCCTAGCTGTTCTCTTTTGTTACAGGATGCGGGTTAAGGCAGAGGGCCGTTGTTGACATCATGAGCCACACCTGGGCCAGTGTGGTTGGTTGGTGCTTTTAACTCTTTGTAAACTCGTCTTGTCTCCCATCCTTGTCACAGCCTAAGAGCTGGGTTGTAACATCTCCTCGGCTGAGCTGTAACGTGAGCTAGGTCAGTGGTGCTAGGCGAGCTATCACATGACCTAAGTCTCTTAGGTCATGTTTTTTTTAATTTCATTCTTGTTTCCTATTTTACTTTGAAACTCACATCTCCTCTCGTTTCAGATCACTTCACTTCCTGTCCCTGTGTTTTCCCTCCCTTTTGATGACTTCACCTGTGTCTGATTGTCTGTCCCACCCTGATTAGCCTCACCTGTGTCTCGTTATCCTTCCCCTCACCAGAGTGTTTAGTGTGTGTCTTGTTTTCTCTCAGTGCCAGTTTGTCTTAGCTCCTTGTGTGTCTCATAGCGTACCAGCCTTTTGTCTCCTGTTTTTTTGGATTTAGCCTGTTGATTGACTCTGCCTCATCCCTGGATTTTGTTTGCCTCCACTGAAAGACCTTCTGTGTATCAAAACTACCTTTAGACCAGTAAAGACTGTTATTTTACCTGAATTGTCTCTAGAGTTGTGCGTTTGAGTCCACTCTCACGTGGCTCACCACAACGCACACGAAAAAAATAATTTTCACAAATGTATTTGTAAAAACTTGTTCCATTACATTCACAAGAAGGCAGACATCTCTATCTCCAAAACTCTGCAGTTCATACCAAAACAATAGATAAATGGCACCAAAGGTAACAGGAAAGCAGTATGTATTTTTGATTTTAGGGTGAGCTGTTACTTTAATATTGGGCAACCCAACACTTCCTCCATCACCAATAATCTTCAGGTTGTTAACCTGTGAAATTCCATGTGATCTTTTGGCTTTGTTCCACCACTATAAGCATCTAGCCTTCATCTAGACTGATTTCTTCTATCTCCATGAGTTTTTTAAGATCCTACACAGTGGTGAAAGTTATCAGAGTCTTTCTTTGTTTCTATCTCAACAAAAACCGTTACACATTTCCAATTGGATTTTCACTGTTTTAAGAAAAAGGAACAGGGCTGATGAGATGGAAAATGAGAATGAGAGGAATAGAGACAAATAACAGTAATATTTTTTCAAAGTTATCACTGGTACTAGTCTCTTCTGTTTACTGGGTACAGGAGGTTTACTATAGCACCGGCATTAATGAATGAATGAGTGAACAAAACAGTCTGATTCAGATAAAGAAATTTTGTGCAGTTTCCACAATTGCTTGTACCAGTTTACTGGCAAACAAGTAACATGTCACAGAGAAAAAATGTGAAAAATGTGACAGAGTGGAATGAAGAGACAGCTGAAAGGTAAGCATGAATTAATGAATGAATGAGATGTACAGTAAAACACTGGTGAGTGAGGTTTGTGATGATTGTTTTGTTACCTTTGACCATCTAAAGCTGGCTGTGGTGAACTCATGCATTGGAATGTTAGAGAGCTGCGTACAAAGAGAGCAGAGAGGAAGAGAAAACCGAGAGAGGGGAGAGGGATGGTGACGGTGAGGGACGAGGATAAAGGGATACAAAATGGGGGCAAGACAGAAATATAACAGAGAAGGAAAGTGAATGGGAAAGAGTAAAGGTGGACGACTTAAAGAAAAGACAAAGGGAAGAACCGACAGCATGTAGGATAGAGGTGTAATAGAGGATAAACAAAGGTGATTAAGAGGAGTAAGAGGAGGGGGAGGTATAATTAAACACCAAACATGCAGGAAGGAGAAGCAGAAAAAAGGAGAGGAGAAAGAGAAAAGTCGTAAAAGTGCTCAAGTGAAAAGATAAAGTGTGCAGCAAAAGATGAAATACAGAAAGCAACAGAAACAAATGCGCAGCACATAAAAGAGACAGAGAGACACGCAGATAAAAGAAAGTGCAGACGGAGCGCAAAAATACTGAGCAGTCAGATACACAGGCTGCATTAGAAATGCAATGCAATGCAGGCAGGAGAGGAGGAGGGGGGAGGAGGAGGGGAGGGAAAGAAGAGGAAAAGAAACGGAGAGAAGGGGAGAGAAGAAGAGAAGAAAGGGGAGAGGTGAGGAGGAGAGAGAAGAGAAGGAGAGGAGAGGCAAAAAGAGGAAACGAGACGAAGGAAAGGAGAAAAAGGGGAGGAGGGGAGAGGAGAGGAAAAGAGGAGCGGTGGGGAAGAGAGAAAAGAAAAGGAGAGGCAACAAGAGGAAAGGTGAGGAAGGAAGGAGATAGAAGAAGAGGAGAGTAGAATAGGAGAGGCAACAAGAGGAGACAAGATGGAGAAGACAAGGAAGAGGGGAGGAGAGGAGATGAAGGAGAAGAGGGAAAGGAGAGGAGGGAAGGAGAGAGAAGAGAGGAGGAGAGGCAACAAGAGGAGATGAGATGAAGGAGAAGGGAAAAATGGGAGGAGAGGAGGGAAGGAGAGGAGAGACAAAGAGGAGAGTGGAAAGGAGAGACAAGAAGAGGAGAGACGAAGGAGAGGAGAAAAGGGGGAGGAGAGGAGTGGAGGGAAGGAGAGAGAAGAAGAGGGGAGGAGAGGCAACAAGAGGAGATGAGATGAAGGAGAAGAGGAAAAGAGAGGAAGGAGGGAAGAGGAGAGGAGATGAAGGAGAGGAGGGAAAGGAGAGGAGCGGGTGAAGAAGGGGACAAATGACTGTACATGGACAGAGCAAAGAAGAAAGAGGGGAAAGGAGGAGAGAAAGGCCTTTGGCCGACATCAGAGATGTAGAGATTGAAGGATGGAGGGATGCAGGGAGGGGTGAGGGGTGAGGAGTGACAAGGCCCGGCTGGATAAGAAGGAGCTGGAGGAGGGAGGAGGAGGAGAGCAACCCCTTCAGTCCTCTGAATGTGTGTTTTTGTGCGTGAGAGCGATTTCAACTTTATTTTAAGAGGAAGAAAGACAGAAGAAGGTGCAACGAGTTCAAGAATCAGAACTGTCTGCTTAATGAAAGACGGAAAGCTGGAGAAGAGGACGCCTGTCTTTAGTTTGGTCTCTGAAGAGACAGATGGAGTGTGTCATACTGTTGACTCATTTCTCTGCCTCTCTCACACACACACACACACACACACACACACACACACACACACACACACGCGCGCGCACACACACACACACGCGCACACACACACACCTTTCTACAGTGATCACACACAGAAGTGACTCATGTCTAGCAGAAAAGCTTTAGTATATTTTCATGTGGTCTTGGTCAACCGATTTTGCCGGGCAAACCCTATCCATGGGACAGTCCCTTTCTCACACACACACACACACCCACACACACACACACACACACACACAGGTTGTCAATATACGGCGGCACACTAAAGGTGTGTGTGTATGTGTACCAATTTGCAGTCCATGTGTGTGTCTAAATGTGCCTGGTTTGGCCACATTTGCATGTGCGTGTGTGCCAGCGCTATAATAAGCAATGTGTACGCCTTTGAACAGGCCGTCCTCATTAAGGGAGGAAATTGTCTCCCTCTCTGTCATCATTTTATAAATCATTATGTGAAAGGCTAATTGCAGTGACGCAGCTGTAAAAACGGGAACACAAAAATATTTATTTACAATTTACTCGTGTATATAGAGACACGTTTCCAGTTAGAAAACCAACGGCGCGTCCATCTGGCTCCTGCTGAATGCTATGTTGTGCTGCACTGGTGTGCTGTTTAAATAGCAGTTAGCACTTCTTTCCGCCATGTTTGTGTGTGTGTGTGTGTGTGTGTGTGTGTGTGTGTGTGTGTTGGGAGGAATATGTGTATGTATGTGGAAGGGCGTCTTGTGTATTACTATCCTGTCCGCGAGTGCCACATGCACACGTGTGCATGTGTGTATGCGCTGAAAGGCTGAGTTAGTGTTGTTGATGTTGGGTGAGGACTGCACTGAGTGTTTGGCTGCCATGTCCACTCGTTCACCGCACCGCTGACGTTTCTACTCCTTCCTCCTTCACTGAAGCATTTTAACACGAGGACGCTCTCCAGCAGCCTGTCCTGGCCTAAATGGCCTCGGCGCTGTCTAATTAAAGCTGCCACTTGTAGCGTTTTGAAGTATGTCAATACGTCGCTGCCAAATTAAATGTGAGAGCTTGGCACAGTTGCTGTAAACAAATTAAGCCACAGTCAACTTGAAAGAGGATAAACATGTTGGATGTGATTTTTCCATCTTTGCTTTACTTGTTCCAATCTTTGCTATTGTGAAAACCCAAAGCCTTACATCTATTTGCTCTGATAGAGGACCCAAATCTTCTCTGCATCTGTGTCTTTGTTTTGAGGAACTGTAGGGTAACTACTTTATGAACTGATTTGAACTGTAGAACCACAGGAAATAAACTCAGGAACTAATCTAGGAACTAAAAGTCTCTTTGGAGTATTTTTGTTTGCGTTGCCACCAGATCTAACATAAGATTTCGACAAACTAGAGTGAAAAGACCCATGTTTTTCTTTGTCGTTACAGTGGATGAAATGAAATTATACAAAGACAACTTGTAGAGGTGGAAAAGGAGACTGTAAACTCTGGAGTGTTTGTCTCCAATCCAATCTTCTGACTGTTTCATGGTATTAATTTCTGCTTTTGTAGGCTGCATAACGATAATGAAGCAAGGTTTGTGTTTGACCGATCAACTCTGCAAGGTCCGCTCTGAGAGTTCCTGGGCCATCAGAAAGTTCTACCCCCTGAGTGGGGAATTTCTTGGCACCAGAAGCTATGGCCGAGGAACTAAATTTAGACCCTTGCTTCTCCAGCCTAAATGCAGGTTAGGTTCCTGACATGGTTCCTGGGCCTCCAGGAAAGTCACTGCGGTTGAAACCGGCTATATGAGACGTTCCTCCGAAGCAGAATGACATAATTTCAGAAAATGGGTCAAAATGACACGTTTATATTCAAGTCACAAACTTTTGTCCATCATTAGAAGGAAGTCAGGTGATGTTATTATAGAGCTACAAATTCCGCAAAGGGAGGAGATTAGGTAGGATGCATGTGTCAACAAAACCTATAACTTAAATATGGAAGACCAAGTCTGTGTCCTGATTCATACTCCTTCCCCAGTCGTTCTCTAACCTTTAAGAGACATTTCATCCCAAAATCAAACCTATTTTTCCTCTTACCTGTTGTGCTGTTTATCAGTTTAGATTGTTTTTTGGTCGTAGAGATGTCTGCCTTCTCTCCAATATAATGGAACTACATGGCACTCAGCTTGCTCCAGAAAAACTCAACAGTAATGTCTCTTTCCAGAAATCATGACCTTGTACCTCAAGATAATAAAAAAAAAAAACAGTTCTTTCCATTAAACTACATCTGCCAACCGTATCACTGCACAGAAGGAAGTGTGCATCTACTCATGGATGAGAGGCTCATGCTTGTGAGCTGAGTTGGAACATGAGCTAGTTTAGTGGTGCTAAGTGAGCTAGCAGTAGATGCACGCTTCCTTCGTCAACTGTCAATATGGTTGGCAGGTGTAGTTCTGTAGAAAGAAAATAGTTACAACTTATCACAACAAGGTCTGTGGATTATCTTCAGTTACCAGGCCATGATTTCTGGAAATAGAGTTTTTTTTTACAAAAATTTTTTTTTAGGTAATTTGAGCACCATAAGCCAAACACCATCTTGTTCCATTATATTCAACAGAAATGTCTCTTTCCAGAAATCATGACCTGGTACCTCAAGATAATTCACAGAACATTTTGTGAGTAGTTTCATGAAGGAACTAATTTCTTTCTAAGGAAGTGTGCATCTACTCACAGACGAGAAGTGCATGCTAGTGACAGCGCAAGCTGTTAACAGTAATGGCATCCTCCTCAGCTGAGCTGTAATGTTAGCTAGCTCAGCGGTGCTAGGTGAGTTAGCAGTTGATGCACGCTTCCTTCTGTGCTGTGATACAGTTGGCGAGTGTAGGTTGGTAGAAAGAAAATGATTCCAACATGAAATATCTGTGCAATATCCTGATATCTCTATGGCTGATATCTCCAACACTCGGCAGCTCGCACCAAAACAATTTATATCAATAAATAGCACTACAGGTAAGAGGGAAGTATTATAGTTTTTTTTTTTTTTTTATTTGGGGGTGAACTGTCCCTTTAACCATGCCATTATTATTGTAACCATGATGACAAAAGTCCCATAACCTAAAATAAAGAGTAATTTTAACCCAAACGATGAAGTTTCTCTAAACCTATCCAAGCTATTTTGTGCCTAAACCTGACCAAACTAATTATAAAACAGACATATTAAAATGAACTAAGCCCTGGCCTCATACTGTTAATCAGTGGTGTGGAGAAATTTTTAAAGTTGTGTTCAAGCTCAGCCTTAAAGGGGAATGCAAGAGTTTTCGTCAAGCTGTGGGCACCTTTACTAAACTACCTCCCAAACTGCAGAGCAAACATAGCACGCAGGGAGTATCACACTGTAGACTGGCATCCTTCCAGTGCCCCTGTGAATGTCTACAGCTCTCTCCTGCTCTGCATTAGTTGTGTACTCCCTGGTCTGTGTAATTTACTCAAGCTCTGGATTCTCTGTGTAGTGTCTGCCCCTGTAATGTGTATGCCTACATGAAAAGCTGCTTTCCCCTCTTTTCTGTTTGTTTGTGGGACTCTGCGATTTGCTCATTTGTATCTCTGCCATTATGTTTTTTCTGTATTACACTATTTTGAAAATTAAATAAAATATTGTCTTAAATGAAAAAGATTTTAGAGTGTGATTACCTTTATAAATGACATTTTTTGGCATTAGGGCTAATGTAGATGCAAAAAAATGTGTCTGACTCTGGATGTTAACATGCTCCACACGACATCTCGAGTTATAGAGAAGTGTTTTTTTATGTACCTAACAATCCCACATACACACACTCTGTATCTGCGTGTTCACACCCATCATTTCAGCTGCATCAAATTCCCAGAGTCAAATATCCACCTCCAAAATGCTATTTCTTTTTGGTTGCATCATTACCTCAAAAGAAAAACTCAAGCTGTCGTGTGCATCACTTTAACATGTTTTCCTGTAACACCTTTGAAACTTCTGGATCTTGACTAGAATTTAAAATAAAGTTCTGCGAGTTTGAGCGTTGCAGGTCTGCGCACGGAGCTAAAGAACGTAAATTTGTTTTGTGAGCCTTGTTTTATCTTTGCTAAGTGAGCATAATTAACTGTTTGCCTCCGTCTGTCAATCACTTTCTGACATCCATCTGCTTGTCGTTGCTCGTGGTCTCACTTTCTTCTATTACAGTCATCTATCTGGAGCTTATTCTGCTGTGGCACCCACTAACGTTACCCACAGCTGAGGGTGTCAGCAGTAAAACGTGCGCTTGCATGCCTGTCTTTATGTGTCTGTCCAGAAGTAGCCTGGTAAGTAAAGGTCAGAGAGGACGTCCAACATTTAGAGGCAGTAATAACAATGGAGTCTGGACGTTTTTGCCAACAGCTACAGCGGGCCGTGTTTTCTCAGGGCAGTTTTCATCCTTACAGCCCACGCTGTTTTTTCCCACTTGTCAAAACCCATCCAGGCTCTGAGGAACATTTCCCATCTCTATGGCCTCGTTAAGTCATTGGTACCCAGGGGAGCGTCACACACACGCACTCCCACTGGTCTGAGGTTGAATCCACTAAACCCTTCCCTTCTGAGCCTCCCTTAACACCACTGTGAGCTTTCCTACTGTCTCAATATAGATAAAACAGATTACAAATTGGAGCGGTCAGCTTGTGCTGTATTTAAGAAAAAGCTGTTTGTGTGCTCTGGCTGGAGCGGACAAAATACAAGCTGTTCTTTAAATAGGGATGTATTTACCTCTCCTCCAAATGAGGAGTGACTGGGCAAACACGCACACACAGAGCCACACCTGAATGAGCTCAGTTGGCACAGGGCATGTGTGTTGCCGCTGCCATTAGCCGCTATTGGCGTAGCAATGTTTAGCTATGTCAGAAAGAGTTTCTATGTTGCGCTAAAGATGTTTGTCTGTGTGTGTTTCCTTGTGCATCTGTCCAAATGTCGCAACAAAAACAGAGAAATGAAGGAAATCCTCAGAAGCGAGAACATTTGTGCGTTATGTGTATAAAAAGTAACTGATAGGGGTTGAGTTTCAGGAAAGCTTGGGGTCACACACTGGTTTGGGGTGAGGATCCTCCTCATACATGCACTAATACATGTATGCGTATTTGCCACTGATAGACACGGTACCTGTTTCTCCGACTGCGTGCGTGCCTGCTCCTCCTGGGCAAGCACCACCTCCCTCTCCGCTGTGATCTGAACGCTTTCCCTCAGCGCCTCCTCCAGCTCCTCAATGCGCTCCTCCTTCTGACGGAGGGAGTCCTACAGGGAGAAAGTATGCAATGTAAAGACAGCAGTGCTGAGAGAATCAATTGATGAACCCAGAATTCATTAAGACACAACACAGCCACGCCAGCAGCTCTGTGAGGCTGTACTTGCTACAGTCAGCATGTCTCAATGGAAATTTAATTACATTTGCAGCTATCTGGTAATAAAGCAAAGTGTTGGATGGATTCAAATTTTGACCTGATGAAATTTTAACAGATCATAAAAGTGGAATTCAGGGGAACTTGAATGTCCAGATTTGTTGGCAATCCATCCAAAAGTTGTGCAAATCTCATGGTGGCACTTGAGGAAAGTCAGGGAATCACCAAAGTCAGTAGGCTTCATCATCTGGGGGCCATGAATGTACGTACCATAGACTGCAAAAGAAGTGGACATGGCTACTGTGACATCGCCCTTTGGTTGGTGGGTTACTGTTTTAAAGCCTTAAGTTTGGCATTTTCACTGTTGCCATTTTGTTTTTTTTTAAGCCAGATGTAACCGTATTTCGATAAGAGGGCGGAGCTGTGAAGGAGTGAGGAGTGAATGTGATTGAGAACCTGAGGACACCACCGTGGTAGTGACGTGTTAATCACAAGCTAGCAAAGCCCTTAAGCATAAGCTGCTTTATCGTCTATTTTACCCTAACTGGGATCATACTTTACAAATTGAACATGATGCTGTATTGAAGAAGACTTGAAACTAGTGATTGAGACCATAGATTCATTAGGAAAATGTTTACTGAAGTGATAAATCAAGTGAGAAGTTGGGTCATTTTCTGTCAAACTTCTATACCCTGAGACCTGAGCTTTTATTTGGTATGCGCAGTGGGGGTAGTCAGCACAATTTCCCAGACCTAAAAGTTTGTTTTATCTGATCAACCGCCAAAAGATAATCAACGTGTGATGGTATAAAACAAACGAATCAGGACATTTGAGAAATTAGAACCATCAGATGTTCTGCATTTTTAGCCACGCTAGCAGCTTTTAATTTCAATAGTAGGACCTGATAAGTATAAAAGACTAAGCATTATCTTTGAACCATTAATAGTTTTTGGGGAAAATGATGTCCTGTAATAAAGCAAAAAATGTTTATTTCAATGCCTGAACGTGGCTGTGTAAAAATAAAATTGCAAATATGCAACGTACATAAAAGCCTTTTGATTTGATCATTTTGTAACTCTGTACGAATTTTCCTTGCCCTATACACCAAGCTAGAAACGTCCCTTTCGTCTGTAGGAACAGTCCATCACACGTAACGGGTCTGCGTGAAATGCTTTGATAATACAATAATAAAGTCCCACTCTCTTCAAACAAGTACTTCCTATTTAACAGCGTCTTAGCTTTTGAAAATTACTAAAATTGGTCAAATTTGCCATATCAATCCACAAACATTATTAAACAAAGTAAACTAGTTTAAACCATAAAATTTTATTAGGTCTTTTATCTTGTACCTTGACTGGGCAGAGATGGCTGCCATCTTGTTTCTACATGATTAGTTCAGTGTGCTTTTGCTACTACTAGATGGCACAAAACAGTGTCCACAAATGAGGTCTATGTTACCCAAAATGAAGTATAAGGCGCGGCAAACCCAAAATGTAATGACCTCATTTGAGGATACATTCTCGGAACCCATCGGCTGTATTCGGCATCTGACTTCCGGCAGACGGCGATACAGCCTCTCGGGGCAGACCCCCGATTTTTTGGCATTCCAGTTTGATTTGGGCGGAGGAGGCGAATTTCCGTTTCCGACGTCCATTTATAAGTAAATATGCTGAACCATTGCGATGGATTAAGAGTTTGCAGTGACGCCAATTATGTTCCGCCTCGTTAGTTCACCGCATGGACCGTTTAACCTGCAGCTGGCTCAAATGTAATTGGTCAATATCACGCAGACTACAATCAGACTACAACCGGAAACCAGGGCTCTTCCGCTCTTCTTCCGGAGGCAAGATCTCCGGGGTTTGCCTACAGACTCTACATTGACTTAATGTAGAGTCTGTATATAGAGACTACAGGAGGATATAACATGAATTATATTTGCAACCAACAGAGTCAGCCCCTGCTGGCCATTAGAAAGAATGCAGGTTTAAGGCGCTTCTACACTAGCTTCACTTTTCAGACCCACAGGCTACTTCCACCTCTTTTTTGCAGTCTATGGTATTTACAAAAGTTTATAGCAATCCTTCCAATAGTCATTGAGGTATTTCAATCTGGACCAAAGTGATGGACGTCCTGAGAGCTGCTAGCGTGGCTATAAATGCCGAACATTTGATGGTTCAAATGTCAGGAATTGTTTGCTTTATATCATCACAAGTTGAGGTTTGGGAACTTGTGCTGACTATTCTTGTTTTCTGACTTTTCATGGACCAAACATACACTTTAATTGCAGCCTTAGATACTTGCAGTATCCAATATATATACTTTTTGTTGGATTTTTCTCATCCTGGGTCATTAAATGGTTTCATGGGGTCTAAAAATATTATATCACATAGGCTTTTAATTTAAGCATAGAATATCAGTTGGCTTTCTCATATACAGTACAAGACTTTCCTTGATCTGACTTTATTCATGTCTGACAGACTGCAAATTACTAAATCACATCAGATTCCCGTAACAGCAGCGCTCCTTGTCACATCCTGCTCGACACGTCCCTGAGGTTAAAACCTTGGACACTCCTCATTCCAGTTTGCTGCTCTCAGCGAACTGGAATAAGCTGCAAAAGGACTCGCAAATGAGACAATCTGATCTCCATCTGCCTCTGAGGACTCTCAGGAATTCCCAATCACACAAGTTTCTAAGGAAAATGATTACACGAACTTCCCACCAATTCCCCATAAAGAGCCATGTGTCCTCCAGTCAGGCTTCCTGGTTAAATTAAGAGCTGAATGAATACCTGATGGAGACGGAGGATGAGGCATTACAGTGGCGATGAACAAACCTCCAGGACATCTCCAACACATGTGCTGTGAGTCTGAATCCTGCTCCAGATCCAACATTACTTGGCGTCTAACTATGCAGACTGGGATGAACTGTAATTGGATTAAATCCTCTTATTGTACTGAATTAAATTTACGGTCTGAATTACACTCACATTCCATTTACAGTCTTCAGTGTTGGTTAAAGTATGCAGAATTGCTTACAACTGACACACACACTAGTTATGGTTGTAACCGCTGCGGTCTCATAAGTCTGAGTGACTCACATCGCCATCAGCTCATCTCTTAACCACATGCATACACATAAATGACAACTTCCAAACTACTTAAACCAAAGATTAATCATAGCTAGAGGGCGCTCAGTCGCACAAACACACACACACACACACACACACACACACACACACAAAGAAAAAGTGTTGTCATCTGCCTCTAATCAGAGAAGCCACTGAGGTTAACGATTACTGGAAGAAGAGAGGGAGGAGGAAGTGGAGGATGGACGAGGACAGAAAGGAAAAAGGAAGTCAGGAGAGGTTAAGGGGAAATTAAGGGTGAAAAAGGTGAAATTAAAGGTAAGGATGTAGAGGTTAAAGGTCGACTCCATCTGCGTTCTTTTCCGGGTTTTTCAAATGGAAAAGCTCTCTCAGCCGTTAGCAAAAAGCAATGACGTAGGCTAAAGGAATTAATGGCAGATGGGGAGGGGGTTAATTCCTGATAGAGGACAACTCAAAGGGCATTATCCCAGTTACACCATGGTCACTTGCCAAAGAAAAAAAAAAAGAATTTTCATTTATATTTCCATGTTTTGCAATCAAAATCTAACGTTTTGTACAATCCATAACTCAGTTTCCTAGGTAACGCCTGAGGATTTACCTAATACCTAATATCTCAAGACAGATTCTGATTCAGATTGTAGAATCTGTCGGCAGCCCTGTGTGAAAGAAGGGGTGGGGGACTTTGAGGTTGAACAATGCTGCGCTTTAGCAAATCACAATGGAGGGGGCCGAGACGTGCAGGTGTCCCCAGGAAATGTGCACCTACAGAAACAGCAAGCTCCGCGTCCATGGCGACCGCTCCACCCAAAACGCCATCTCGTCAACGTGAAAAACATGGACAACAGCACAACTTACAAGCGTTGTGTATCAACCAGCACACCTTCCACTCCTCACGACAGGAAAAAAAGGGCATTAGCGGCAACGTTTTTACCGCTGTTTGGTTCGAGTTGCAGGTAGGAGTGTAACACTGGGGGCACTGCCAGAAGTGAAGGGGGTGAGCGATCCCAGAGGCCCCTGCACTTCCGTTAGTCGAAAAACTCCGGGCAGTGCCTCCAGAGGTAAAGGAAGAATTTTTTTTTTTTTTTTTTACCGATGGATTTCCAGATTGCCTAATACCTGGAACAATCATTACCGCCCAATAATGTTCTTATGCAACAGTTCACTGTACCGGTTAATAGGACGAACCTTAGCTACGACTTGGCAGCTGGAGATATTTATAGTCTGCTCAGCTCAAAGAACCTTTTGGCTCAGCTATGAGCCAGAAAGCTAACCTTAGGCTTGCGAGATTCAGAGTCAATTACGTTGTATACTGTTGAAATATCAGGAAGTTCACAGGGACGGTATACTTCTTGCGGCTTGTGTGTTAAGGCCCATTTCCACCAAACACTTTCGCTGTGGTACCTTTGGAACCAAAAGTAACCCTTCAGACATGGGACCTACACCCTAGCGTTTCCACCACAAACAATACCCTTAAATGTGGGCGGGGTTTTTGTCACTCACTGCTCCGTCCAGCACTCACTGTATTTCCTCCTTTATCAGTCTGCACCTCGTTTATCGTCCACAGAATGGGGCTGCACGTTGACATTTTCAGAACAAAACAGAACAGGCTGTAGTGAGACTCTCTCTCCATGGGATATTTAAAAATAGGGTGTTCACAGTGGAAATGGAAAAAAAGCATACCAAGCTGAACTGAACCATACCGTACTGCTAAGTTGAAACGTGGCTTTACAGTCTGTCCCTTTTGTTATGGTTACTCATACTGTTACTCATACTATTAAACAGATACAGGCTAATTTAGAACAGTGAACAGACAGTTTCACTATAATTGCTTAGTAGGTTTCCTATATCAGGCTTTAATGGACACCCTGCAACCAATGAGAATTGAGCATTCACCCAGACCATGGTATAAAATAGTAAGAAATACTGAAAGGGTTAGTTAAAGGTAGGATCTGGAGGATTTTCAAACAAAACAAAATATAGACATATACAAATGAAATCCTGCTTAATCATCACCTATGGGCTTCTACTCATGTGTGGTGGTGACTCTGTTTGCAGAGCTCCTGCCCTTTAACTGTATTTTGATGTTTTTGTGAGCTCGGACCGCTTCTGGGCGGAGATTTCCCCAGCCAATGAGAGCGCAGGTGCCGAGCGTGTGAGCGTGTCCGAGCGTGTCCGAGCGTGCACCAGCGCGAGCCCTGCCTGAACTTCTTCTGTGAAGCCTTTTTCCGTACCTCCGGGCTCCGTACACCCGGGAGAGTTGAGCCTGATAGAAGGGGCCAAATTTGAATGTGTGTTTACAAACAGCAACTGGAAAATCCTCCAGACCCTACCTTTAAGATTTTTCAAAGTGGGGTTAGATGAGGTACTTATCCATAGTCAGTGTTGAAACCATTATAACCCTTTCTTTATAATCAACAGACTCCATTGACAAAAACAGTAGTTTTACCTTGCATTAACGGGAGTTTCTGGTCTACCCCAGCCTTGATCATTTTGTTAGTTTGCATATTGCTCGACTTTGAATCCGAACTAACTTGGCGTCAACAGCAGTACATAGCTTAGCTTCCGTGTCCGTCAGGGGGTTAGAGGAAAAAAGCTAATTAAGATGAGAGATAACACACAATTCCCGAAGAAGGCTTTGCTCAGTCACGAAAAGGCCCATTAGGCGCACTTTAAGGTTTGTATGTAGCAACATCATCATGCAGAAACCTTCATCAGATCATGTAGAAAAAGGATTTTAGAGGGGCTTGGGAAAATGCTAAAACATGACATAAAAACCTCCAACAAACAGAATTTAATGGCCCCATACTTTAAAGAAGACCTGAAATCTGATGAAATACGAGGAAAACTACAGTCACAGTCATCACCCCACACATGTCTGCTCATCTTGTGGTCACTTTACACTCCAGCAAACAATTAGGAGATGCTCTCACACCACAGGAAGCATTTTAAAACCCACAGCATTCACTACATAGTTTAGTGTGTGTTGCTTATTTCCCCTCTAATCACCTCCTTTCCTCACCTCCTTTCTCCCCTTCACTTCTCTGACCATTTTTGATTCCTCTTTTCCTCTCCAGCTTCCATCTGCTCTCCCTGTCAATCATTCTCTTCAGTTACCCCCTCTCACACACTCCCCGAGCAAGAGCTGCATCGTGTGTGTGTATGTGTGTGTTTGACATTGCCTCGGGCTGATCCCTGTCACAATTGTCACGTCATGATGAAGCACTGTTGTGATAGCAGAAAATATTCAAGGTAGGACGGAGAGAAGGAGAGAAACTTTTTCTGGTCTCACTCTTTCACCCTCCCACCCTGCTCGCATCACACTCCTTTCACACGCAGCTGCCTCCTCCACCCTCCTCCCTCCTCTTCATTCCTCCACACCTTTATCTGCTGGGAGCTTTCGTTCAGATTGTCCTCTCTCTTCTTGGCATCCTCCATCAGCTGGGCGTTCCTGCTCTTCTCCAGCTGCTCCTTGTGTTTCAGGTTGGCCACCTTCTTCGACTGGTCCTTCATCTGCCTGCACACACACATACAACATCAAGGTCAATGCATCACTCACATACAGTAGGCTCTGACTTCTCTTATTATTTAAAAAGGCAATAATTTTCTATTTTTATGACAGATTCCTGTATGTCTATAAAACACACTTGTGGTGGTTTTGTTGACGTTCACAGAATTGTGATATTCATAGTTATGGATTTATATGGCTAATGCACACCAAAAATGAGGCGCTGCATGGCAGTGGTTTACTCAGAAGAGAGGATAATTCAACAGTGAGCTCCAATAATTTTATTGCATCACTCACAAACATTTAATATTAGAAAATTGGTTGAAAAACTAACAACATTAATAGTTACATACATTTTGAGACACATCATGAAGTCTACACCTCTAAGGCTGTGTCTCAAAGATGTTCAACTATCTCAATAATCTAATTTTAACGAACATAATCTACCTAATGCATTCACTTAGATTATGTTCCAACTAGAATTACCACCCTACGGCTGTATGCCACAAAATTTTAATAAGTTTATTCTTCAGTCAAGGTGGACGTTTGTGCTGAATGTAAAGAAATTCCCTTAAGGTGTTTACAAGAATGACCTTGACCTTTGACAACTGAAATCCAATCAGTTCATTGATGAGTCGAAGTGAAAATTTGTGCCAAATTTATAGAAATGCCCCAACAGTGTTCTTGAGATATTACATTCACAGAATGAGACAGACAAGGTCACAGTGACCTTGACCTTTGACCACCAAAATCTAATCAGTTCATTGTTGAGTCCATGTAAATGTTTGTGTCATATTTGAAAAGAATTCCCTCAAGCTGTTCTTGAGATTCTGCATTCACGTGACTGAGACAGATGCAAAGTCACAGCAACCTTGACCTTTGACCCTTGACTAACAAAATTTAATCAGTTAATTCTCAAGTCCAAGTCAACCTTTGTACCAAATTTGAGGAAAATCTCTCTCGAAGCGTTCTTGAGATATTGCATTCACAAGAATGAGACAAACAAGGTCACAGTGACCTTGACCTTCAACCTTTGACCACCAAACCACGACAATCACCTGAAGCTTAATATCAGCAAAACCAGGGTAAGAGGGCGGAATACAAAGTAGCCATGACAACAGACATTGCTTCAAATGTGGATATTTAGTGTTTCAAAGGTCGGATCTGGCCAAATGTCTCCCTTTCTGTTCCTGAGTTATGACATTTAGTAGCGGCCAGAAAAGTGTTTTTGCGGAACATTATGATGTCACAGTGAAGCTGACCTTTGACCCTTTGGATATAAAATGTTATTATTTTCATCCTATGAGACATTTGTGTGAAATGTTGTCATAATTAGCATATGAATTCATGAGTCATGAGAGAATATTTTTTGTTTGTTTTGTGAGGTCACATTAAGCTTTGACCACCAAAATCTAATGAGTTCATCCTTGAATCCAAGTGGACGTTCGTGCCAAATTTGAGGATATTCTCTCAAGGTGTTCTTGAGATACTGTATTCACGATAATGGGACAGAGGGAAGGACAGACAAAAACATAATGCCTCTAACCACAGCTTAAAAAAATAAAAAATTGAGAATTCATAAGCAGGTCCATCTTTAACAGATATAATAATACCATCTCTGACTGCAAAAATCTGCCACACTGACCTCACGTTTGCACACAAACAACCAAACTGACCTGGATTCACAACACTGGCAGATCAGCCATGCAGCTGATATTCAATATATAAGTCAAACCCACAAAACATATTCATGACACACTGTCTGTTAGTGCCATTAAGGCGATACTGAAAGGCTGATTAACTATTCTGTGTAACACAATGCTGTAATACAAATCCCCGGGGGCCAATGTAATGTACAGATCAGTACAGAAATTCAATAAAAAGCTATGAATCAATGACTAGATGACATTTGAGATTTCTCCACAGTGGGAAGCATGGAGGTCTTTTCACAGAGGGATTACTGGGTGTCGGGAAGCGGAGTCTAAATCATCATCTGGGGGAATGAGGGAGAGATTCCTCACGGGAGCAGCAGGGTTGGGAGATGGAGAAAGAGTTTAATCCCAGTTTAAGCTGTCTGGAAGCCATTGTGGCTGTGTCACAGACCTATCAGCTATCACAGCAGCTTGACTTGATCAGGACCTTTCATACCTTTCATTCACACACATGTGAGCTAACCCGAGCTAATACCAGTAAGGTTTAACAGCGTCTACTGAATCATGACACGATGAAAGATAAGTCAAACACAAAGGATAAATGTGTAAGCACACACACGCAGGCGTACATCCAACAATGACACTTGTAAGACCAAACTGCTGACTAACACGTAAGAAACTGATCAAACTCAATAAAAGTCATTCTTCTCGCTCTGTATATGTCTGAGTCTTCTGTATGTTTGCATTCTCTAAATGCCTGCTCTGTGCAAATGTTTACGCATGTGTGCGCGAGCCCGTTAGCATAACTTTTTACAGGCTCGTACATAAATCAATTCTCCTCACTTCCATCGCCGCAGCTGCCAGTAAAAGAGCCGACCTCCAGCGATGGGAATCCACGGCCAGCTCTGTCACACCAGCAGCAGAGCATGTGCACTCATGGGAAATCACTTTTACGAGCCGCGCTCTGCATATTTTGCTTCCCAAGGTGTAAACAGGTTCCAATCGTCACGTGACCTTCGACCTCTGCCTGTGTAGCACAAGCTCGCAGTATGCTGTATTTTATTTTCACTGCTTTGCTCCTTTGAGTGCAATCTTCTCATCTGAATTCATAAGGGTATCAAGTTTATTTGTTTGCATCTCAAATGATATACATATTCCAGTGCTGAAATATTTTACAACAGCCCTTCGCTTTCATCTTTGCTGTCTATCGAAGCCATAAACTATCTGCTAAACTAACCTAAAGTAATGGGAGCAATCCGTCAAATGGCTTTTACATCAGCATCACTGCCAGAAAAGTTGAGAAATGATATTGGCAGAGGATGGTAACATAAAATCCTCTATGTGTTTGCTAAAAGGTCCAGGGGGCCCAATTCCAAACCGTCCAGAGGAACTTGGGAAGCTGGAAGAAAAATTGTAATGCAGCGACTGGGCCAAAAACTGCTCTGCAGCACCTGGGCGTTCAAAGCTTACAGAATAATAATCAGCGTGTGAAGCTGCCTGCGTACACGTGTGGCTTTTACTGCTATTGTTTTTGTGTGCATTTTAAAGGCCTACATGTGTCCTGTATTGCATCATTATCACATCCAAATTGGGTTCAAATGTTAAACAGGAAAGCAGATGAAGTAAGCATGGTTGTTTTTTTGTTTCCTTTGTTCGGGTCCTGATTTCAGTTTGCATACTAAATGTGGGATACATTTGAATATTTGGGATCAATTTTGTGCTTTACGCCCTGTGTGAGTGTGTAACAGGTCATAAAAAGGCAGGAATGTTCCTATTGGAGGATTTCCAGGAAGCTCCGACCATCTGGTTAGCTCTCTGAGGTTTCCCCTCTTCATGCTACATTTACTGCACGTATGTGAGTGTATGCAGAATAGACTCTGAGTTTGCAATGTTTCCTATTGACTCAACACTCGGTTCCCGCTGACACTCTCTGCTTTCCTCTTTCGCTAATGCTAAACACTTGTTTGCTCAAACCCTACTTGTACTCCAGATCATTTGCATGGGTCACTATCGCGCATTTGCATCAGACCACAGCGGGTTTCTTTTCTTGCTCACTTAAACCAACACTGATATTTTCCTCTACTTATTTACCCTGTTTTTGCACGTTGCATTGTGATCATATGCATGTAAAGCAATCATTTGCATCCAACCAGCGTACAAGGACAAATGTACTTCGCCTCACCGCTCCCCTTTCCTCTCCGTCTTCTCACTTGCTCTCCAAATGCAACATTACTCTTTCCTCTGGATGAAATATTCTCATCAGACCATGGACCATTTCTTCTCTCCTTTCCTCACCCTGATTCCTTCCACTCCCTCTTTTGTCACTTCCATCTCCTGCACTTTACTTCCCCTCTGACTCCTCTTCTCCTTTCTAAATAAATAAATAAACCATGGATCACAGGGCGGCATGGTGGTGTGGTGGTTAGCACTCTCGCCTCACAGCAAGAGGGTTGCTGGTTCGATCTCGGGTGTGGGAGCCCTTCTGTGCGGAGTTTACATGTTCTCCCCGTGTCAGCGTGGGGTCTCTCAAACTATTGCAACAGAAGTAGTTTGTTTGCCAATTTTGGTGTTTTCCATCTTCTTAGTAACGCTTCATCATCTACATATGAATCTAATTTATCATGCTGTTAATCATCTATGACTTTCTTTGACTGTCTTTTTATCTGCTGGTGATATAATATCTGACAGGTGGTACAAGAAATCACAAATACCTACAGTATGTGTGCTTTCAAATACTTCAAGTCTCTAAAAAATGGATTTTAAAAGTAAAAATGTCAACTCACACATCATATTGTATGCTGATTCACTCGCTAAAAGGCAAAAACTTAAGTGAGCATTTGTTTACACATTCTTATCTTGCATTATGACACTGTAACTCGTCAGTGTGATTACCAGCCTATGCACATGGCCTATGCCTTTGTGAGCATTTGTACTTGTGCAGTGGTGTGTCTGTGTCACTCTGCAGTTACACCTCCAAAACACTAGTCGGCAGCGGGGTTTCTGTGAAGTGCTATCAAGTTTAGCTGAGTCACAACACACTGAAAACACACACTAAACATGGCTTAATAGCAACAATTTGAAACACAAGTACGCCAATCTGCTTCACTATAACTCGCAGCATTCACAGACAAACACTTGTCTTTATCTGGACACATTTTCCCCACAAATACAACATGCTAATGTTTTTAGCACAAGCCTATGGCATTTTACATTGTATAAATTAGCCTAGCAGCTAGCGGAGATTTCCTCTGCTCATATGAAGCCAGGGACAACAGCAACATTTAACAAAGGTAACGTCATAAAATTCGGTTCCATTACAACTCACAAGGTTCACCGAAAACAATTATATAAATTAGC